TTTTTTTTTTTTTTAAAAAGAAGATAATTCCCACCTGGTGTACAGTTGACTTTAACACCCAGTTTGAACTTGTACAGCATCCCCAGCAGTAAAGGGAAACAGCAAAAGCAGAAACACTATCAAACCATCTCCAGTGTTTTGTTTTTTTTTTTTTTTTGCTTCTACCTGGATTTGGTCAGCAGGTTCTTGATGCGCTCAGCTCGACGGGAGCGTTCCTCCAGTTCCTCTGGACTGAGAGGCTCCTCAGGGTCAGACTCTATGTAGCGCTCTGGGATGGGAACCTTCTTTGGTTTGGACAGCTGCATGTTGGACAGACATGTAGTCAGTCTTCTACAGTAGTCTCCTGCTTTAAGGACAGTCACTGGATGTCTGGGTTGTAAGGTTTTCTTGCCGACAGAAGATCTAAGGGGTTAAATCGTACTCCTTCACTCTGACTCTTCTCTTTCATGGAAACCTCTTTATAAGGAGGAAAATAGATAGAAGAAGAGAACCAACTAAGGCAAAATCTGTTAAGAGATTCAACCTGATGTATGAGAATAGAGGAGCAGTTAGAAGATTTATGTCTTGGTGTGTCTCTGATCCTGATTCTGCCTCTGGCTTCCCATTTATTCTTCATGACTGAGACAGATCGGATGTGTGTCTACCTCTCGGCTGATATCCAAGTCGTAGTCAAGAGGTTCCACGTCCACCTCTCGTATGCGTGTAGCCGTGGCCATCACCCACTCATCTGACTGGATCCTCCGCCTCTCTTTGACTGGATTCCACCCTTCATCGCTCTGACCTTCTGCTCCGGGTCGCTCCTCCTGCCAGTCGAACACCTGGAAGGAGCCGTAGTCAATTACACAGCTAGCAGGAGGACTGATGAACAAATTCTGTCTTTTACTGAAGTTAAATATAAATTAGACAGATAAGTATGTCTCAGCATGTTTATTATTATATTAGGTTCTTAGAATAGAATTTATGTTTCCACATTGTGCCACCAAGTCAGGTTTGCTAGAATATCTGCAAGATTGAAGTTAACGTGAAAACAGATTATATACTTTACATGAAAGAAGCTAAAGCCTCTAGTTTTACAGCTATTATTAGTTCATTAATCAGTTATTGAACTGGTAGCTTATTAATTTAATAGGCTTCATAACTAAGTGACTGAAAAGTGTTAAATTCTAGCAATTTATTGGTTCCAGCTTCTTAAACTAAAAAAGATTGTTGGATGTCCTAATCTTTTTTGATAGGAGGTTGAATATTGGGGGGTCTTGTGACAGGTGATCTGACAAAACAAGCACTTTGAAGAATCATGGGCGTGTTTTCCAACAATATTTAGATCAAAAATATAACCAAGAAAATAGTATGCAGCAGCTAGTTGCAGCCGTTGTATTTTAGATCTGTGAAAGTTAATGAAATGACTTGCAACATGTTTATTCTCTCGAGAAAAAGAACACAAACCCAAGTGGAACAGTAGCAGGAAGGTCAAAGGAGGACAGTGACGTCTTTGTATCAAAAAACAGTGGGATTTATATTTATATGGAATATATAGTGGAGGGAGACAAATGTGAATTTCGCACTTATGTGCAACAAGGAATAATTGTAACAAGAAGTTCAAAGATCTGAGGATCTGAAAGGAAGATGTTTAGTAGAAATACCACAGAAGGGACCCAGGAAGATGATTAGTGTGTGTTTCTGGAAGCTGTAATCACACACAAACCACATCCTTCTCTCCGATGTACACCACCACTTTTGCATTTGTAGTATAAAAATACTTTTGTTCCCTGACAAGCGCTGTGTGTGTGCGTGTGTGTGTGTGTGTGTGTGTGTGGTACTTGTGAGTAATCATCCAAGGAGCATCAAAGCCATGCATGCATCCTTCCCACTCCAGTAGCCTGCAGCAGGGTCTGATCTGTTGGTGTGTTCACATGCTCTGAGAAACACTGCATCCCATGCCTTGCTGCGCTCAGGAGAATCAATCGCACACAGAAGGGCACAAAGAGAAGAGCGAAAACCATGCAGACACAGATTCATCAAACCTCCACCGGATTAGGAAGAACACAGCCAAGAGGTGGTTCAGAAGCAAGAAACTCTTTATTGTCGAGTGCAAATCTCTACATGATAGAAAAGAAAAGGGAAAAGAGTTGTGTGTTGCTTCTCAATTACACAGAATTAGGTGGCGATTAGCAGTTCACTTCTCTAAGTTTTCTACTGTATTTCTACTTTTCAACTGAGCAATCTCCTGTTACTATTTCTCTCTTTGATCTGATGTAATGGATGTAGCTGTGGAAAGATAAAAGCAATATGGCAGAAAAGCTTTTGAAATTAATACTTGTCAAAAAACAAGGAGCGAACAGCAGCTTCATGGAAGATCAGAACTGAAGAATGAAGCACATGGATTTTTAGGAGAATCCTCTACATATATACATCTGCAAAGACAAGTGTAAACAGAAAATGTAACAATTCTTGCAGATTTTATTGCTTTTGTCTCTTTTATATCATTGTAAATTGAATATCTCTGGGTTTTCTGTTGCTCTAATGAGGCAAATTAGTTTTTTCTCTAGTTTTCAAGATGCCACTGACAAAGATGAAGGAAAAATCTAAATGTATTTCACACAAACCAAATACTGCCACATGACAAATTCATTGTTTTCACACAGATCTCCCATGATAACATTGCCTGCTCCTTGTTCACATTTATTTCTTCTTTTATTGCATTTCAGCCCAGTTGCTTGAACCTGTTCTGTATATTAATGATGCATAAAACAGCACAGCATAGGCCACTTTGAACTACTCAGATGCAAATACAGCTTCTTTCTCCAACTTTAAATGTGGCAATGAAACTATCACCTACTGTGAAACGATAAAAGAAACCTCGTTGTCCACACAAGAAAAGGCTGTAGTGATGAAGATGTCAGTTCAAATTATGTAAACATGTTTTATGCTGGTTGAAGAAAATGAAATATATGTTATTATTTTAAAGAGGTGAAAAGTAGTAGCAGAAGATGAAAAACTATGTATTGCTTACTGTTACAGGGACACTTGATTTCAAGGATTTATGGGAAATGTAGTCTAATTACTTGCAGCTCTCACAGCACAGTTTGGTTAATCATGTGTGTTAGTCTGTAATCATAATACCAGTCTAGTAGTTATTATGTGTCATATTATCTTAACGGAAGACTTTGACATTTTGAATTTTATTACATTTTTTTCACCCAAGCATGTTAGCACTGCTAGCATTCGTCATTAAAACCAAGGAGCACAGCTCGCCCGAAGCTAGATTCAGTCTCAACGTCAAATGTCAAAGTCTTCCTTTAGGGATTAAAACCAGCAGTGTCCCCACATCTTCCTGACTAAATTCTGCTGTTACGCAGAAAAGCTACCTTACAGGTAGCTTCTTGCATTGTTTAAATGATTTTGAAGTGTGGACGCATGTTTTAAAGAAACCATGATGAAACGAAATTGTTGGTAAAGGAGGTAAATTTGGGACAAAGGCAAAAAGATCTTCAACAAAACAAGGCACTTGGATTTCATTTGAAGAAAAGAAAGCAGGGAGGTGTGATCATGATTTGTGCCACTAACATTGCCTCTTTCTTCATTTCATCAACCTGAAAGCCTATTTTTTTTCTTTTTCCAACAGTTCCCCTGCTCCTCTATATGATCTATATACCAAATCTCTACAAAATATAACTGTACAACTGTATACTGAAAATATTACTCAGTAAATAAATAAAAGTGTACAAGTACACGGTATGTAGATGTACATAAATGGGCTTCTCTCTCTACTTTCTGGTGATCAAAACAGAGATAGGAAGGCAGATTGCCTTCCCCTCTCTTCTCTTCTCCATGGATTTACATTCAGAATTGTGTCAGTGAGGTCCCACCAGGGGGCAGTGGTAATAAGGTTCACTTAAACCCCTGAACCATTTTTAAAAAAAGGAAATAAAATAAACAGGGATCAACTTTGTCCCAGTCCAAAACTAGCTAAGCATTCCCCACAATCCCCTGTGCTCATTTAGTCTCCCACTCTTCTTAAAGCGTTAACCAAGCTAGCTAGCTAGCCAGCCAGGGTCAGTCCTGTCATTTAGACTGTTAGTACTTGCGGCTACCATCAACAACCACTGGTTACACAAGGCAGGGAGTGCTAGTGTGTTAGCATTCCTGCTAGGTTATTATGTGGCTGGCGGTTGGAGGGTGGCGTAGCAGCATTGGTGGTGAAGTTGGTGTTCCCTGTGTCTGCTGCTGCTGCGCTGTGGTGGGGGGTAACGTACGGAGGTCGGCGGGTCGGAGCCACTAGAGGGCAGCCTGGAGGAGGATGAGGAGCGCTGGGTGGTGGCAGTGGAGGTGGAGAGGCCCGTGTAGGAGCGCTCGCCCTGGCTGAGGTTCCTCTTGCGCTCACGAACCAGTGCCTTCTGGTGTCGCTTCATCCGCTCCAGCTGCTCCTCCGCAGTCATTCGGCCTCGAGACTGGCTGCTTGGGAGCTGCAGGGCCTCGGTGGGTGATGACAGACGCTCAAAAGCACTCTTGGGTCTCTCCTGGGGAGACAAGGATGGAGTAAAGACATGGGGAGAATTGGTACAAGGATGGGATGGGCGTGAGAGAGGGGAAGGATGGTTAGTACCTGGTGACAAGATGAGGAGTGGCAGAGATGTGACAGTAAAACAGGACGGTGGAATAGCAGCAGTTATAAAAGTAACCTTTTGTCATCTGTTTCTATTGCTCACACAAACAATCTACAGCCAACCGTCTACAACACATAAGAACATCATCTTCACCACTGTCCAGCATTCAAAACTTTTCACTGGGGTCAAGTTGTACATCTTAAAACTGAAAACGTGCCATCAAACATGCGATTTACACTGAATTTCTGATGGAAAAATACTGAGGACTGTTTTTCCGTTTCTCCAGGTGGCTTATTAGTCGTGAGAATGTGACGGAGTTCCTAGAGAGATAGGAAATTACTGATACTGTCCTATGCAAGGTGAAAGAGAAACATGAAGCAATCCTCCCATGACAAGCCAAATTGTCTAAGAACAGAGAAAACTTGTTCCTCCATAGGTGGCATGATAAGGAGAATATAAATACTGACAGTCCTTTTACTCGGGGAGCTCCTCTCCCGTATCTCTGTGTTGTGTGACATCCTGTGCACTGCTGAATAAAGAGACGCTGACTTCAACCTCCTCGTTTTGAGAGCGGTGATTCTTTTTCACCCACAGTTTCCATTAAAACCAGGTATGGACAAACACTGAAATAACCTGTGATTCCCTGATACCTGCAGACACCTGAACCTTTGTTGTCTGGACTCACCTTTGCTGCAGAGCTCCCGGGGCCTCGCCTTAGGGTGACGTAAGATGAGATGGAGTTGGACTGGTTCAGACGAGTTGAGGAGCCTGGTAGACCTTAATGGTAACAATGGGACAAGAATAGTTTTGGTTTAGTTTTATTTTCACAGTGATAACAGAGCATCAGAGTGGAAAAAAAGAATGTATGTACAGATTAAGTATGTCAGATGAAACAACAGACACAAAAGTTCTGCCCACCGCTCTATGTGAGGCATGAAATATATAGGAGAATGTGTCAGAAAAAATAAATACCTTAACTGCTAAATGCTAAAACTATTTAACCCTCTAAACTCTATATTTCTGGTTGTTTTTTGTTGTTGTTGTTTTTGCTCTTGTCACTTTTTGCTCACTCATTTTTGACTTGTTTCCATATTTGTCTCCTGTCCATTATCTATTTCTATCTGTTGTGTACGCACAGAACTGCAGTTCAGCCCAGTTAGTCAATAATGGCCTTACGATTGCACCGTCTATTGCAGAATTTTTCGTTTTTTAAGGAATCTAGCTTGTACAAAGGGTGTAGTGTTGGTGAATTTTTTTTGCAGACATATAAAATAAAGTGATCAAAGATGAGTCCTTCATGGACCCTCAGAAAAGTTTAAATCGAATGATTCCTTCTGTTTTTAAAGTGTCTTGCTTTGATTAATAGTGCATTGTTGGGTAATTTTTTTTTTTAATAGCTTGCTTAACAAACACAAAAGTGGGTTTTGGGGCTTCAGAGGGTTTAAATTTATTTATTTTTTTTTGAGAAAATATCACATGGTTTAGTAAAAAGCATTAGGCTTTTGGTAATTCTGTGACTATAGGATAATGTATTAGCAAGATGAGTACTACATTTTCTACATTTTAACAAATAAATCCTTCAGTCTGAAAAAAAAAATGTGTGTTTTTTTTTTTTTTATTACAATAGGTATTTTATCGACCTAGTAGACACTCGTCAAGCCATATTTAACGTCTCTAGGAGTTTGTTTAATGCTTGCAGGGAAAACATTTTCTAGTAACACCCTCTTTTACAACATGGCAAGTATAGTAAGCAAGAGTGTCAAAATTTACCGATAAGAAAAGGGGTTACTCAGTATCTACGTTTCACATTCAAAATAAGCTGCAGCTAAGTAGTGGGACACTGCAGGGGAAACACTGGCATTCATAAAATGGTCGAGGTAATAGAAATGTTTCCAGGCAAATGTGCAAAATATTTATTTTACATGCAGCTCTTCAGATACCTTTGCTGAGGGAGTACTGGTAGTCAATATCAGACCCCACGTTGTGGTGGCTTATTCCTGGCAGCTCTGGTTCACTCAGGTATGATCGTAAGTCAGTCTGAAACCAAACAAGGTTAAACAGGTGAACTGATAGGCCAAGTCCTTTCTCTTCAAACAGATCCCAACAGCCGTACATATGATTTCTAAACTCACAGAGAAGAATAACAAAGTACAATATAAACAACTGAAATATTTAATTTGCCCAAACTGTGTGTAGAAGGTTTCCACAGAACAAACATAAAACGACAGCGTACCTTGCAGTCTCCATTAGCAACATACTGCCCACTCTCCCTGTCCCTCTTCCTCTCATCTGACTGGCGTTTCAGCCCACGCACGGACGTGTGGCGTATGACTGAGGCCTCTTTGGGGAGGGGCGGCACCACAGGAGGTGTCTCCTCATAGTCGTAGAGGCGAGGCAGTGGTGGCCTGGGTGGGGCGCTGTCCTCTGCCTGTACAGCAACCAGGACAATTAGGTTTTCAGAGTTTAACCCATGAAGGTCTCAGAATCATTAATGAAACCAGCAGCGGTTCCTGAAACTTAATACGAAGATAGGTAGAAGGGGGACACTCACCCACTTTGGCACGGTGCTGTGAGGCAAAGTATAGGACATGATGGTGGGGATGGAGCTGCGAGGAGGAGGCTGGACCTCTGCGCTGTGAGAAGGCACTGCCGGGTCTGACACCGAAGGCACTAGTTTCCTCTCTGGTGAAGGAGGTGCACAGAAATCAAAGTTTCGTTTTTAAATGTCAGCAGAACATGGAGAATTTCTGATCAATTTACACAGAGAGCATTTGACAAAAACAAGTGTAGATAAATTCCAATCAAACAGAAAAAAGCTGCATAATTTTCTGTCTGTCTGTAGCTCCAAAGTGAAATCTACTCTTCTAACACAGCCTTGTTAACTCAGAAATAATATCACGAGTGTAACCACAGAGTTAAAATCACTGTTCACAGATAACAAACAGCACAACATACTGCATAGAGAACATCAATCATTTTTTAACACTCCTTTGCCAACTTTCTTTGAATATGTGACTGCTCAAATATTTGTAAGCATGGTGCTCTATAAATAAAGTTTATTATTATTATTATTATTATTATTATTATTATTATTATTATTATTAATAAATCTCAGGACAGCTCTAAAGCTCTACAGCACACATGGAGCGAGTGCAGAGCGGAGATCAATACCTAGACGAATGAGTGAGGACCTTTATTGGATCTTAATAATTCTCTGACTAACTTTTACACCCTTGTCAATGACTGCATTAAATGGCCTGTCTCAGTATCAGCTGTCTGGCTGCATTGGTCTTCCCACCTGGGTTCTGGACTGAGTCAATTGTGATCTTGTAGTTGGCTTTGCTGGCACTCAGTCCACCCATCACATCCTCGATCCTCCACAGCTCCCGCTTCATCTCAGCTTTCTCTTGCTGTATAATAACACATAGACACAAACAAACCCCAGTCACTTGTCATTTGTAGTTTTCACTTTGTTTTTCAATGTTGCACATTCAACCATTTCAAATTGTGTCCTTTAAATAGTTGTAACATAACAGCAAGTGTAAGAACTAAATAGATAATTGTTCAGTGTTATTTGAAATATATAAATAAATAAAATAAATATATAAGTAAATACAGACATTTTAAAGGTCACACATGCTGCATACGCAATCCAGCCTACAAGCAAAGTGAGATACTTTAACCCTCTGAACCCGAAAGCCAGCTCGCAGGTTTGAAAGGCTGCTTTTGTTTTTGTTTTTAAAAATCGCCAAAATCACAGCATTAATTTAGATTGTCGATGTTCTATTTGGAAACTTAACCAAATCTGAGCATAAAATCATCAAATTTAATCAAAAACACTTTTTTTGACATGTCCCATTTCAAAATGTGCAGCAATTAAATTGTTTTCATGAACCACATTTTCACATGAACCACAACAAATAATTCAACGCTCCTCATAACAAAAATGAAGTCATGTGACAAAAATTCAGAGACTTTTCAGCTGAGCTACTGGCTGTGTTTACGCAGCAGAGGACAAGTATGATGACATACTAAAAATGTAAGCAGCAAAATAACTATGTAGAGGCATCATTCCAGTATCAGTAACAGTCGTGAGCATTTGGAAAAATGGTGTACATGTTGATTTTAGTTTTTTTTTTTTCAGTTTTTGTAAAATAGGTAATTAAAAAAAAATCAGCTTTCATTTGTCCTTTTTATGATTTGTGATATTACACTCTGTTATACGGAACAAAACACATTTTTGAGTTCTATCTACTTCTAGGCATGGCTGTGCTCTTTCCATACAGGCACAAGAGTTGTCGACTATCTTGCAGTAAAAAATGAGCCACAGGGAGCAAAAATGTAACAGGAACGCCAAAAAATGGGTTCTTGGATTTCAGAGGATTAGTTGAAAAGCCAGAGCCACTTTGGAGGCGGACGTGCTGTTAGCTGCAGTAGCAGGTCTCACCTGCGGGGTGGCGCTGTGGTTCATATGTGCCTGCAGTGCCATCCTCAACTGCTCTACTGATTTCTCAAGCCTGCTGTACTCCTCCCAGGCATGTGCCATCTCCTGCATTACAAAAACACACACATGCACAGTCTTGTGATGCATGTAGCGCCTGAAGCACACAGTGTAGAAAATGCATTTTTACATCCTGTTATGTCCTCCGGTAGACGTTTATATTTACACAAACCCAATTAGTGGCAGCAGTGCAGACACACTCAAACCTATGGCACATGTCCATACATAGACACAAATAGCATTCAGAAGAACACATGTACAGAAACATTTGACAAACTGAGCACAAAAACAAACAAACAAACATGCTGGTACTTTATATAGTCAAATATACTGGGACTGGACACAATAATTCAATATATACATTCTATGTGAATCTGACACACTGTCTCATGCTCACACAAGCATAGATACCGTGGAGTGGCGTGATATTTGGGCCCTGATGGTCACCAGATCTTCTTGCAGTAGCCTCTGCTGGTAGGCGATCTTGTGGGCGTGGGCCGGCTGCTCCTGGTACTGCTCCATCTGCTGGTGGGACACGTCCAGTACGCTCTCCAACTTGTCCTGAGGGGGCGAGCAGCGTGAGGTGGAGCAAAGCAACTGAGATCTGCTCACTTTGTGGATTGTTGCTCTTTAATACACACTTAGAATATTTATGAAGCCGAAACCAGTCCATACAAAATTCCTCCAGAGGGCAGCATGTTTCTACAGTCAATCCTGAGCCACCATCTCATCAGACCTCCTCTCACCTGAGTCCCT